AGGGGTGCGACATACTACATACTCCAGGAATGCGACACTCAGCACTCTCTGCTTATGGCATAAACTTAGCAAAGGAAAGAGGTAAAAGAACCAGACATCCCTGGGTCGGGGGGAACTAGAAGAAGTAAGAGGAGAATTAGCACCTGCAATCATGCCAGTGCCAACCTTCAGTACTGACTAAGCACAGGGCCATGTGCTGAACGCCACCACACATTTTTTCCTCTCAGGGAACACAAAACTAAGAGCAGTGAAGTGGTTTTCCCAGGGTCAAATGGTTAAGAATTGAAGATCTGGAATTTATCCCTGAGTGCTCTAACCTCAGAATTTGTGCTTTTAACCATGCCATTAGCACAGAGAATTGTAGTTTGCAAGATGTTGTCAGTGGAGGCAGAGTAACTAGATTGCTCAAGAGTGTGGGGCACACACCACTGGGTTTCACACATGAAGTGAAAGGATCCACAATAAAACAACATGAAAGGCACCGATTAATGGTCCATGCTCCACTGGGCATCGGGCATTCATTCTCCACCCATCATGGAGGACCTGCTCAGGAACTGGCATGGGGTTACTGCTATGTTCATTCTACTCCCACTGTCATAAAGCTGGGAGCTCCATGTGGCCACATTTTCAGTGCTGAGCACAGTATCTGGTGAGAGCAGTCACTGAGAAAAGGTTTGTTAAAGGAATGAACCAATGAACAAATGAGCAAACCAACACATTACTAACCTTTCTCATCTCTCTCCTTCCCTTCCAACTTGTATGACTTGAAAGAACTGCCAAGGCAAAGTGAAAGGGAGAAACATTAAGTTAGTCTAACTCAGATCCACTGTCCATACTGAGAACAGCCTCTTGATGACTGGTCTTCTGCCCAACTCAGATCCACTGTCCATACTGAGAACAGCCTCTTGATGACTGGTCTTCTGCCCATGTAAACAGTTTCCAAAAGAAAAGATTTCTACCAGCAAATGCTAATGTGTAGAAGGAAAACATCTTGACCACAGTTACATCAGACATTAGTGAGGCCTTTGGTGGCATATCTATTTTTAAAAGCATTATTTTCTCCATAAGAATTGAATTTCATGAAATTTTTCTCCAGCTAAATTATTTTTACAGCTTATCAAATCATGCACTATCACATCTCATTACTATATAAATGAACCCTTGTATCAGAGAGAAACATCTATGCTTAAGGAATGTGGAAATCATACAGCTGCAAAGATAGTCCTCCTCCCCTCACCCCAAATGACAACATGCAGGACTTAGCAACCTCTAAGGTGGGTGCGGGAGGAGTAAAGACAATGGAGTTTCCTGCAGGCTGTCCATGTATCTGACCTCTCACTGGCAGAAAAAGCCTTATATCCTACCATGATATCTGGATAGTGGATGCTCATGTTCCATAAGACAGCCCTTAACATACTTACTGTGTGGTTAATTAAGGAATTTATGTAGCTCTGTAACAACCACTTTCTAAAACATTAGGTATCTCCTTGTGAATGAATATAAAGTAGGGAAAAGAATGAAGGGTGTGGTTTTCCTTTAGCAGAAGAAATAGTAGGTGATAGACTAATTAAAATCCAAGTAAGAGCCATAGTTAGTCAATAGCCCTAGAGTTCCCCATAAACTAACGTTACATTGTTGCTAATGGCTATGAAGACTTTTAGGTGTGATATTACCAGAAACTAAGTTTGAGTACAAATGTTACATTAACATTGGGGTTGATACAAATGGGCTACCAGGATAATTGGTTTGGAATGGAGTCAAGAACCGGAAGCCACATGAATTCCGGCTTTTCCTGACCTGTTCCTCAGTCTGGCTAATCCCAGAAGCTCTATGATAAAGAATTTTGTCTCAGAGTCCCCTCCTATTCCTCCTTGCAGTTTAACTTTTCTTAGCTCTTGCAGTCCATCCCAATGATGGATATAGTTTATTTTGTTTTCTCTTACAATGCTACTCAGCCCCACATAAACCCACCTTTTAAGATTCTCAGCTCCAGCCTATTACAAACTCCCTGCTCTGAAGAGTGTGAATCATGTCATGAGAAAATCAAGTCACCTCACATCACATTCTCTGAAGAATGTTCCTAAAAGTGTACCATTCTTTAAGCCAGAATGGCTCAGAGCAGGAATGGCCTGGGCAAAGCTCTTAATAATACCCATCCTTTGATCATTCCATTCTTTTGTGAGCTTGATATCAAAGAAAACAAGTCCAAGACAATACCAATTTTCTGAGTTCCATTCTTTTCTAGCCCTGGGCTTCTCTTCCATTGATTCCACTCTGACCTTGCTTTTGAAAATCCTCTTTCCACCCTGAGTTCTTCCTGACTTTGTTCCTTGCCTGTGTGCCCTTTTGATTAGAGTTTTCTTTGTTCCTGTTGGTGTAATTCATTTTCTACTCTCATCCTCCTTGGAACAGGAATGATATTTTTCTCTGCTTCAAAACTACAGCAGAATCTCAAAAATAAATAAATAAATAAATAAATTAAATTTAAAAATCATAGCAAAAAAAAATCCTTTGATATACATTGAACCAGATGTCACAAAGTTGACTTCCAAGGCCTGCCACAAGTATAGAAAAATGCACATAAAAAGATAAATATGAATTTGGGCTCCAGCTACCAGCTGCTGTCAGCTTTCTGAGGCATTATATCATAAAGTCTGTCTATGAAGCAAGGTTATTTTATTATGGAGAAACAAGTACAGCTGTGGAAATTAGCGAAGCTATAGTGAAGGGAAGAGAGTTTCAGGAGACTCCGCTTACTCAGTTGGGACTACACTCTTCCTCTCAGGTAGAAAAGGGAAATTAGGGCTCATCTTCACTGTGTTCTCTCTCAAAACCTTTGTCCATCCACCACCCTGTAATCTGTTGCACTGACTTACCTGGAGAGAAGCAACAGAGTAAGCACAGACTGGCTTCTCCCAGACACAGAGAAGCTAATGATGATGAATGCAAAGAGTGCTACCAGGGGAGCTACAGGACAGGGAAGCACAGAGGAGTGAAGTAGTACGTCTTCTACTATACCACAGAGGCATGCCCCCACCACTAGCCAAACTGTGAGTCTTTAAAGCAGGGCCATCTTGGCACCATTCAAAAACAAAAATGACTACTTCCTGTGCTCACTTACCAAGTCATTTTAGGACCATGTTTTGATTAGACTCTAAGATTTAGTAAAACATCTACACTGTTTTCTGTTTGTTCCTTTTTATTGTGAGCCAAAAATGGGACGCAACATATTATCTACTGGCTTGAGAGTTTCTCTCTGGACTGAAAGTTCACTGTAACTATATTGCAGGGAACAATTACAATGCTTGCCATAAATCCAGTAATGACACAATTATGTTCATTTTCATCCAGTACTAAAGTTAATACCATTACTAGGGGCTACAGGACCCAAGAATCCTTTAATAAGATCCTTACAGATTCTTTGTTGCTACTCTGAGTTCCTAGAAGATGGAGATCTTTACAAACGCATTGTTATCTGCATTGAGAACTTCAAAATAACTCTATTTATATTGTTCTTACAGTGAAAAAAAAAAAAAGAGTGTTTCTTGTTTCCCAGGAATCATCAAACATGTACCCTTAATATTCAGTGAGGCAAATGAGGTGAAAATGGGCATATTACACTCCAGGGTAAAGTTAGTCTCTTCCTGTGAATCCCATCTATGCTTCTGTACAGTTCACAAGTATCCTGAGCAAGAACCAAAGAACAGGCCTAACAAGGGTAAACAGTGCTTTCCTCTTGTCATAGGAGGAGAAAAAGCTAACAAATTTTAAAATCTCAAATTTAAACTTTATTCCCATTCATCTTACTTAAATATTGCCACAATCAGTCACTGATCAGAACACAACTAAGTAAATGGCCAATTAACAAAAACAATTTGCAGAAAATCAAGGTTTTAGGTGCAGCAACTCGTCAATGTGCTAGATCAAGGAAAAAAGGCAATTGTTTTATTTTGTTTATTGTTTTGTTTATAAATATAGAAACGCCTGGTAGAACATGAGTAGAGTGGAGCTGCACTCCGGGAAGGGTCAGATACTACTTCAGCCTCTTGCTGGACATCTTCATCCTTTCTCTCTTTTTAACTGGCTTTGTTTTCTCAATTAGTCCACGCAGTAGAAGAGAGCTGCTATGATCTCCCCCATTTAGATGTTAACTGTCCACTATTTAGAAAGAAAACCTAATGGGCCCAATTTAGGTCAAAGTTCTACCCCTAGTCAAATAATAATATCCTGATCTCTTCTGGTCATTTTGTGGCCTTGGCATTAGGCCATGACAGTTCCAGGAGATGGAAGTGGTGGTGAGAAGGGTGCATGATGTCCCAGAGGAAAGGTACTCAGAGGATATGATGCGTCAGTGCTCCCACACCCCCACAGGAAGAGCCATAGATCCAAGCTAAACACCATTAAGATCTAATTTTTAAAAAGTACTAAGTTTATAAATTCTCTGGAAACACAAAGGAAAAGAGAGGGTAACTTTCCTGTAATAGTTCATTTAATCCTCCCAGACAATGATAAACACGTTTTGCAGATGAAACTGTTGAAGGTTAGAAAGGTAAAGTAGCTGGCCCAAGGACACTCAGCTAGTAAGTGGTAGATTAAAATTCAAACCCCCAATTCTGACTCCAAAATCCCATTCATGATCCATTCATTACTCAGTGCTGCTTCACCAATGAACTCTGCCCAGATCAGATGACCAGCCTAAATTGTAGTAAAAATTTACACCAAATCTGTTGTATTCTGTGCCTAAGATTTCTCCAGGACCTCATTTTGCAAAGCACTAGTTTAGCCTGTCCCTACAGGGATTTGACCACAGCACAGAACTTTCCTTCAAACTGTCCGAAGCCCCACTCACTCTAACCCAGTACTTAGGCCAGCCAGTCTGGCTCTAACACGTAAGCCAACCCCAAGTGAAACATGTCAGCCCTAGGTTGTATACTGTTTAAGTTATATCGATGCCATTTTCCTGTTTGCGTTTTGTTTTTGTTTTTGTTTTGTTTTTACAGTTCGTTGCTCATCCTAACTGTCAGCAGCAATTGCTTACCATGTGGTATGAAAATCTCTCAGGCTTACGTCAACAGTCTATCGCTGTGAAATTCCTGGCTGTGTTTGGAGTCTCCATAGGCCTCCCTTTTCTCGCCATAGCCTATTGGATTGCTCCGTGCAGCAAGGTACAGACTGCTTCAGGTGCATGTCGTTTGCAGTTATTTCTTCTTTTCTTAGCATGACCTAAAGCTCACATTGCTATACTCAGCAGTGGATCTTCTCCCACCGTTTAAGGGTAACAGTTCTGTGCTGGGGATGTAGTTCAGTGTACATCACTTGCCTCGCATGTGCAACACCCTCAGTTTAATCCCAACACCACCATAAGTTAACCAAAAAAAATGTCTTGAGATATCTGGCAAAAGTAGACAACAATTTAAGAGAGAAAACGTTAAGACCTGTCTTGTGTATTATTTTTTAAAAGACGCAAATGATAAAATGGGAATTTTAAATGTGAAGAGTAATCTAAATGAATGAATAACAGAATAAAAAGAGCAACAAAGGCATTTTTTTCTCTTTTAATTATGCAATGTTCTAAGCATATCCTCCAAACCTATAGTATAATGTTTATAATCATGGTAATAGTAACAGCCGGTACTTATTTAGTATTTTTTCTTTGCTAAAGCCTTTTCATGGAACATTTCCTTTACTCCTTCAGTTTCATTATAATGCATACACTTCATGACGTTGGCTCAGAAATCAGAAATAGCTAGTAGGCTGAAAATCAAATGTGGTTCATGCTGGAACACTACAGATCCATTGCAACATCTTCCTCAGTTTCCAGCCTCTTTGATCAGCCCTGATGCATGTGCAATTAATTAGGTTATAAAGAGGACAAAGGCAAAAGAAGAATTCAAAAGGTGCAAGACTGGGTTTTTATACAACGGAGAGTGTCAAGTGACCACCTGTAAGAGGAGGAATGAAAGTTCCAGGTACCAAAACCATCCCACTGGTTGTACCATCATTCCCACAGCCCACAGATTTGTGCCAAAGCCACAGAAAGCACCAGCACCCTCATCTTCAGACAAGAGTTAGTGCCTGGAAAAGCAACCCATGCAGAAATTTTGAAATATGATTCATGGGTTTAAGACTGTCTTTGAAGGTTATGAAGCTACCTTGACTTAGTGATATATTTTTAAAGGAATTAAGTGTAGGTAATTAACATTCAGTAGAAACAGTATGGCTACATGGAGATCAGTTCCACAGAAAATCCAATCAGCTAATTCACACTAATAAAAGTATCACCAGCAAGTTGACCCTCTTGACAAGCCCAAATATGGAGAATTCAGATCAGGTTGCTGGGCTGAAGACTTCAAGGCTGCTGCTAAGGCCATTGGCCAGGCAGCCAATGAAATACCTGCCTCAGAACGGGTGAGGGTCGTAGGCAGAGATCAGGCCTCAGCACATCTTCCACAGGATAGCATAAGAAACGAAAGCCAGAAAGCTGATATTCACAGTATTCAACTTTATATCTCCTGAAAGTTTTGTTTCTAAGGTCATCTTGTGCTATGCACTTGCAAATCAAAATTCATATTTCCCTGTCCTTTATTATGAGCTGAAAAAGATCAAAGAGTAAAACCAGGCTTAGAGCTGATTTGGAATTGGTCACTGGTTTTGGACATGTTTTGATGGTAGAATCATCTATAATGGAGGATAGAGTCTTGCCTTCACCCAGAGCCTCCATAGATAGGTGTACCTTTCTCTACAGTCTTTGAGCCTCAAAACTAATTCGATGCTTTCAGTAATTAAGATAACAGTAACAGTATAGAGAAAACGCTGCCAATTCTCACTTTTGGTACAAGACTAAATGTGATGGGCTTCAAGAAACTGGGACAAGCCAACATCAGATAACTCATTTGCCTCTGCCTGCCTAGTCATGTGGGAAAAAATTCAGAAAGAGACAGTATGTCAGTTATTGACTAAATTTAAATTTTTGGCAGATCTGAGGCAACTCTTGGGAAATATGCACATACAATCAGCCAAAAAGAGTATGTGACTATAGACAGGAAATTCTTAGGCCCTTTAAATCTCCGAAACTTTAAGCATGATCAGAGGATATAGGGGTCAGACTTACAGCAGTCTTTAACGTCTAGAGAAAATTCTTTCAGGAAAGTTTGGCCCATAACTGGAGCTTTCTCTCCTCCTTACAGATACTTATCTGATTGACATTTGGTGCTCCTAAAGCCTCCAGTAAGACTAAAAAATAATTACTTGAAATAAACATGACCCAATCACTAAACCACTTGTTACTTCTGTGAGCTTTCTAGATTCCAAGCACTACAGAGGGGGCTATACATTGACAGTTGAATGACAAGCCTTAGTCTGTAGCATGAGATGACTCTGGGTGGCACTGCTCATTACAAGGAAAGATCCCCTCATTAAAGAGCTTGTCAGACTTGCGCTGAGGCAGCTAAAGGATAGATAAAGCAGTCAAGATATTTTTAGTCTTCCTTTTCACCACTTAGAAATAGATCTTTTCAAGTTTGGCAGTGATATTACTGGGAATTAGTGAGAGGTCACATCTACTGTGCAACAAAACTACCCCCTTCTAAGACTTCTGATGCACAGAATACCATGTCCTCCCAGAAAGAAGGCACAGTGGAAAAGTCTATTAATAAGTTGGTGTTTCACACTCAGTGGTGTCACTGTCTTTGTATTTATTTCTGTAATTTTATGAAAAATACAATGTCATTCTAGGGATTGCATGATCCAATGATATTATTACAACTCTATTTAAAAAATTAGAATCAATATTCTTTTATAAATGCATTCACACAATGTCAGTGCCAAATTTCATCAGCTGGCTAATGTCCATTAGCATCTAGCAAATGTTGGAACTTCTTTTTCCAAACTAATGGTGCATTTACTTCCTAATAGTTGCTGTCCTAATTTAGGGACTATTAGGAACACCAAAATTACCTTAGCCTGCCAAGATGAACTCATTATTTATTTCCTATTGAAGTCCCAAGGCTATTAACTCTATTTTTAGATTTTTCTAAGTTTCTGAAAGTCCCTAAAAAGGGTAGTTGAGTATGAAGATTATAAAGCTAAAGGTTGTTTAAAAAAGGAGTTCAGCTAATATGTTGATTGAAGAGATAAACAAGTCAGAAATGGGTACATATGATGCTAAGAACAGGCAAGGAGCATGGAACAGGTTTGGTACAATCAAGAAAAAAATTGATTTTGTTAATCATTTCTCATTGTCATCATGAGCCCCTGGGAGGCCACTGGGAGACCTGTGAGCTCATAGCCACATGGATTCATGCATTAGATCTTTTCCTAGAATTCTCCATTTTCTCATTAAGAGTGCCAATGCCAAAGTGCCTATATAGCTATTAGGCTGTTTTATAACCTTTGCTATTCCACTGTGACTCACAATTTGGACTGTGATCTAAAAGAATAACAGACATCCTTAAAGGTTCAAACAATGCCTCAATAGTAGGTAGACAAAGGCAGAAGTCAGCATTGGGAAAATGTTGAAGAAGTATGTATGTTCTGATTATAAAGTGTGAAACAAGCAGATATTTCTTCTTTTACCTCTGAAAATATCATTGTTCAATTATCCCTGAAATTACTTCCAAAAAGCAGAGGAGTACTGCAAATAACTTTATATCCAACCTTGTGTTTTTTTGTAATGTGTAACCTATCAGTTCTTATGGTCACACAAGCTTGGCTTGAAGAATGTCAAAGCGTTATTGAAGAGTACTTCAACATCCCAGACAGAACATCTAGCAAGAAGGACATGAGCGAGCAGCTTGTGAAGATTTCTGCTTCACCTTACCCAAAGCTAAGGATCTAAAAGAATCCTCAATCCTCAGGGTCCAGAAGTCAACCCGAGGAACAGAATGATTTCAGAGGCCTCTGTTTCTCCCCTTACATTTGTCTCTATCAGACAGCTTCAGTAGATTACAGAAAACCATGGCCAAGAAGGGAAAATCTGTCAGGAAACAGAGTGCTGCTGCTCTTACTTTAGTAATACTTCTGTCCCCAAGTCTGAAAGGATAGTCTAGCACCTGTCACCCAACTGGGATAGAACTGAAGATACTAGGATCTGGTCCCTTTGAACCCTGTCATAGGCCTGAAACATTATTCCCTGTCTCTCCATCTAGTTTTTTGTTGTTGGTTTGGTTTGGTTTTTTGAGACAGGGTCCCACTATGTAGTGCAGGCTGGCCTTGAACTCAGTTATGCAGCCCATGTTCGCCTCAAACTCATAGCAATCCTCCTGCCTCCTTCTGGGATTACAGGTATGCACCACCACACTTTGCATCATCTAGTTTTTACCAGGTTATAGCCTGTGTCTCTCCCCACTAACTTTGAAAGGAAGAACCAACTCTTTTTTTTTATTTAGAGAAAAAGAACAAAACATAAAAAAGGGTAGAAATAATACAGAATTTCAAAAAATAACAGTAAGAAATCACTAGTCGATAAATTACATGCCTCCATCACCTTTAGTGTCCAGCATCATGTTGCACACAGTGGTTCCCCAAATGAGGCTGTGGGACTGCCTTCATGAACCACTGCCTCTAACCTTTGCAAGAGTCAGTCAAGTTTCATTTAAGCTTCCCCTCTGGGCAATTCTGTGAACTTCTCACTGACATATGTTGAGTACTTTCTGCTGTGGCTCCTGTGTTACATAATCACTGATTATATCAAACTTATGTGGGAGGTGCTATTTTTATCTTCATGGTACAGAAGAAACCCAGACACTAAGGCAGTAAGTAACTTGACAAAAATCTATTGAACTGTGATTTACATCTAGGGTCTCTAGCTGCAGAGATCTGCTGCTACACATACACAGACACACAGAAGTGTGTACACCTCCCTAGGTACATCAACTGCATTACAATCTTCAATGCTTATTGGACATATATTAGCTGCTAAACAACTGAGCTTGGAAAGGATTCAATTCTGATCTCTATTACCTGGCAGGACTTTCTAGAATGGAGAAATCAAAACTACCACAGAACAAAACCTACCCTTTTATTTTCTTTCTTTAGAAGCCCTACTTTGTAAATCTCATTATCACTGAGCATCTCTACATATAACAAAATAAAGGGTAGCTTCACACTGTGACAGTACCCTAACTGGAGATACCTAAATAAACATCCCATATCATAAAAAAGAAGATTCCTAAGTTCTAGATAGACATTTTGAATAAGAATTTTGGGGGAACCTATTCAGGAATCTACCACTAATTTCATTAGGACATCTGATACAGTATCTGAGAACCAATGAGCCATAAAATAAGTGTGTGTTAGCTGGGTGTGGTGCACACCTGTAATCCCAGCACTCAGGAGGCTGGGGCAGGAGGATTGTTGTGAGTTGAGACCAGCTTGGGCTACAAAGTGAGTTCAAGGCCAGCTGAACTACATAGCAAGACCCTGTCTCAAAAAGACCAAAAAAAAAAAAGTGCATGTTTCTTTCTGGAATGCTTCCAAAGTTTGCCTCCATTCAGCTTTCCAAATGTAGAATAAGGCCTTGCTTAAGATGACTGGCAACTGCCAGAAATTGAAAGTGGTATTTGGTGAAGGAGACTCTCTAGATTTAAGAGCAGGAATATGATTTCAAAACACTGTTTCTGTGTTCCACTAAAACCACTGACCTGCTTTGTCACAATGTTGGTATCCACAAGCCACCAGGTCTCCATCAAGTGCTTACACTTGTGGTTAGGGACAAGGGTTCAGGGTATGGAACAAAGTTATGCCAACCAGTAGAAGGTTGTCAACCCTTAAGGCTCTTGGAATACCATATGCTTGGAGCTAATGCAAGGGCACTAATCAGATGTTCTCAGAAATATATTTCTTAGAATAAAAAGAGTACCCATGACGGGGCAAGCCAGAGACTGAGAGTCCACAGAGTTGATCCTCCTACTGTTTTCAGCTCATGTGGCCCTAGTAATGACTAAGATGTGTTAGTATGTTTTTGGATTCAAAGGTTCTGCATAGTGGACAGAGTGGACTACAGTCCCCATCTCCCAAAGATCTATTTTAATCAAAAATGGTTACCTGAGGTAGCTTACCTTTGGTTTGATTCCACAGCTAGGGACTGCTGGCGTATATTGGTTGACTTCTGACCTTTCTTTTAGCTCATCTGGACACCCTATAAAGGGCAGAGAGTGTTCTGCATAGGTAATTTATTTCAAAAAAAATTATCTTTGTGATTAAAATAGGAAATTTCCCACATGCACACACACAAAAAATAAAAGGAAAAAGCCACTGCGATGACTGTATCTCATCTGATCTTTAATTTTTAACAGTTAAAAAGATGTATTTAAGGCTAGAATAAAAGGGAAACAGTATCAATTCCTAATCTCATTTTTTCTCCCTATACCGAGATCAAGTGAGAACTAAGCCAGGATAACCTTCCAAATCACATAATCCAAATCACAGGGCATTATCAGGGTTTTTTCTCCTATTATGTTTTATAACAAACATAACCATTTTTATAGATTCATCTTCTGCCAGAGTATAACAATATAAAAGAGGTAACAAGATGTCAACATCACTAGCTAGAACGTTTAAAAATTAAAAATAGCTGTTCAATATCATATAAATCAAAATGCATTATGATTTAATTGATTTTCACTGAATATATGTGAGATATTTTATTTGTCCTTACACTTAATCTCTGCATTATGAATTTTTATATTTGTCTATTGCCAAAAATACTTTATAGTCTCTACTTTTGTAAATAAAGTTAAATGTTACAATATAAAGAAATGTTATTTATAAGGTACCTGTGGCCATATCAATGTCAAATAAACTTTCCCTTAATTTTCCAAAGTTATTCTTAGTGTCATGTGACACTATCAACAAAATCAAGGTTTCCTAGTGTGTAGACCTGCAATGTGGGTTTTAAGATGGACAACAGCCAACTATTTTTTTTAAATTTAAACTGATGGCTTTTAGAGAATTAAATCATAATTAATCACTAGAATTAAAATAGATAATTATATTGAATCCAATTAAAAGAGCATTATCAAATCATTTGATTTACAAATGTTATTTTGAACACAGTCATAATTAGGGAAGTTTTAACTAGAAAAGTTACTGTAATTGATTTTTTGTTGGATCAATACTGCATCTCCTGGATGACATTTCACTCTAGGACTACTGAACGAGGCAGAATGTTAACATCAATTAATCAGCCACCAGTTATAAATGAATATCTTCCCTGGAGAACGACCTGAGATTCAGGTTTTGCTTTGCTTTTGCCTTGTTAGTGTACCTGAATCAGGGGTAAGGCATGGTGCTTAGATGACAGTGATGACAGTGACCTAAAAGAGACTGACGTGGGTTCATTAACAGGAGTTCAATAAAGACTGGATATGCAACCCCTAGTTTAACCCCCAAAGATCTCAATGGCCTTTGGATGGGATGTCATGAAATAGAAAAGATGTAACTAACACTGGCTACCAACAAGGGCAACTTTTGGAACATTTCAGGCTCACGAAGAACAATTGCATAAATTAACACTAGACCACAAAGAAAACTAAAAAATTTACAAATCTATGTTCTTTAAACATGCTACAACACAATTAAAATTACTTAAAACAGGAAAAAAGTCTTATATGTCTGGAAAGTAACCTCTGAGTTGAAAACTAATCAAAAGAGAAATTAAAGTACCTACAACTGAAAGTAGTGAAATACTTCACATCAAGTTTATGAGAATATATGTAAATCTACTTGTAGGAATCTGTAGCTCTAAACAAATTTGAAAATAATGTAAGCATAAAATCCAAGGGTAAAACAACAACATAAAATACCCAAAGTGTATTTTAAAATCATGAACTCTACTCAGATTATTTTTCCAATATTTGAAAGACATAAAATTACACCACCCCCCCGGGGAGGGGTCTGTATAATCACATATAACATGATGGTATGTCAGAATGTTACATTCCTCATTACTCCCTTCCACTAAAACTTGTAAGTGAGGAAAAAACTAAGTTTCTGGTCGAGCAGTATTTCCCGCATAAGTGCTGAGAAAATGTTTGGTTTCTGCGCAAAGTGGAGGATTTGATTAAACTTTGATTTAATGAAATCAGTGTTTTAAAAGATAGACCTGCACCAATGAAGAACTGCCAGTGTAACATGTCTTGTACCAATTTTGTTTCCAGCTAGGACGAACACTGAGGAGCCCTTTCATGAAGTTTGTAGCCCATGCAGTTTCTTTTACAATCTTCTTGGGATTGTTAGTTGTAAATGCATCTGACCGATTTGAAGGTGTTAAAACCCTGCCCAATGAAACCTTCACAGACTACCCAAAACAGATCTTCAGAGTGAAAACCACACAGTTCTCCTGGACAGAAATGCTCATCATGAAATGGGTCTTAGGTAAGCTACTCTTTTACTCTCCCTTGCCCTAATTATAATAGGACATTACCAGGTGTTGGGTATATCTCAGTGGCATGGCACCTGCCTAGCATGCATGAGGTTCTGGGTGTTTGATCTCCAGAACAACAAAAGATTATTAAATTCTAACTTCTGAACGATCTCCCTTTTCATAAGTGTATTCCTGACAAAGTGGAGTGTGAATGCTTCACAAGAAAACCAAAGTAAATATCTATATGTGCTCGTATATGAGTTGCACAGATTACAGTGTAAATCCTCATTTTGGAAGGAAACATTTGGAAGGAAATTTGTTAAGTACTTTTTTATTATGCATATATTAAGAATGATTGTAAAATGTGTTTTGCATGGGGAATATATTAGTCTAATCATTTAAGTAAGTTTCCTGAAAGCCTTAGGAAATCAAATTCTGCTTCTAACATGACTATAAAATTACATGGCCTAAGATACGTTTTGTTATTGCATGTCTTAGTCACTTTCCGGTAACTGGGTCACCATACCCGATGTTTAAAATAACATTCCAGCCTTGTCCCCAAAAGACTCATGTGTATCTCTTAATGAAAAATGTATTTCATCCATCTCCAAAAGTCACCAAAGTTTTAACAGTACTAGAACTCGTGAAAACTCCAACTCCATAGTCTCCTCTGAGACTCAAGACAAATTCTTCACTGTGAGCCCCTGTAAAAAAATGTTTTAAAAAAGTAAAATACTTCCAACATATAATAGCACAAAGTAAATATCTCTATCCCCAAAGGAAAAATAGGGCGATGTACAGGGATAGAGACAAAAGCAAGGCCAAAACTAAGCACAGCAAACATTAAATCCTGTAGTTCTATTTCCAGCACTCAAAATAAGCAGTATCAAGATATAAGCTCCAAAGGGCTTGGGTTACCCTACCCCAGCAGCATTACCAGTTGTAGCCCTCATACCGTTTCTCTTGGGTTGGTTCTGCTCAGTGCCAGTAGCTTTCCTCAAACATTCGTGTTGTTAGCTTTTCCAATTTTCTTGGGTCTTCGCTGCACTTTTAGCTTCACTCTCACAGCTTCACACACTACCCTAGGCAGAAGCCTCCCTAGTCCCACAACTGTCATATGTGCATGCCTGTAAAACGTACACGACCCCAACCTCTGCCTCTAGTTCAAGCAGTATGCAGGCCCCCTTGAAATATGGCTATAGAGGCCTCTGAATGCCCAAATGGATGAGAAATGTGAAATAAATCTATGAACCAATTCTTTATGGAATACTTTCTGAAATAGGGCTCCCTAGGGCTCTTTTCTCATAGCAAAGGCTTTTGAGTTTATTTTATCTTCTTTCATTCTTAAATTGGTGAAAGGTGAATTTTTGCTGATTTCTGAGATGCCCTCAAGGTATCACTCTTATCATCCTCATGCAAAGTACTTGGCTTCGTTTTAATGCTAGTCTTTTCAGCAGCCATACTTTCTCTCTACTTTTCAGATGTTTAGTTTCTGATAAAACTGTAAGCTTTTTAAAACCTTTAACTCACAATCTGCTCTTGATTCTCACTATAGATCTTTATAAAAGCACCAAGCAGAAATATCCATCCCACAACCTATAAATAATGGGCTGCCTTAAATTTCCTTCACCAGATTCATTAACCCACAACACCTAGTCTCAGTCTCCCTCAAAGTCTCAGGACTTGAGGCAAATGAGGACAAGTTTTCTACCACAGCATAACATATATAGTCTCCAGCCCAACTGCCAGTGGAGTCCTTATTCCTAACCACCTGAGCATTAACAGTACTATCTGTGTTTTTATCAATATTATGTTCATCTTAGCTCTCACCAGAATCTCCCATTAAGCTCAGCTTATAGCATTCTAGGGCTATAACCAGTATCTCCAAACTCCTAATGCAGGTCAGTTCCAAAGTCCACTGAACCACATGGTCAGGTATGTGACAGAGATCCCACTCAGTAGCAAAATCTGTCTCAGTCATTTTCTCATCACTAAGATTCAACAGCCAACACCCACAACTGAAAGGAGAAGAGGTTTATTTTGACTCAAAGTTTCATTTCAAAGTTGGCTGACTCAAAGAGACATAGCAGAAGGGCCAGACAGAGTAAAGCTGCTCACTCATAGCAGACAGACAGGGAAAGAGGAAGAATCATGGACAAAAATATATCTTTCCTGTTCATGCCCTCACTGATCACCTCAAGCAAGGCCCCACATTCTAACAGCAAGTCGGCTGTAGTGCCCCCATGATCCATTCACTTTCTAAAAGCCCTGCCTCTGACAGTGCAAGAGTTTGAGGGAACATTCTAGATCTAAATCATCATACTTCAGGTCTATAGTATAAGTTTGATGATAAAAATAAATCTAACATTTAGGGAGCAACACCTCACTATTGGTATAAATAAGTGTACTTAAAGAATGTGCAATTCCTCTTTATGGGGCTATGTTGTGCGGCCCAAGTCTGCTATTAGAATTGCCAAAGAAATTGTACCTGAATTCCCCACTGATTGGTTAAAAAAGCTCTCTCTTACACAATTCATAAAAACTATGACTAACAGAAATAATCAAAATAAAATAAAACTGGTCATGGCTAAAATTGAACACACAAAAAAGCTACAGATTTATTTTCTAATGCTGAAAACTGTGAAATAGAGTAGTAAAAAATAAGTCATGGTAGAAAACATGAATTGCCAAAACTATAATCAGTAATACTGCATACAAGCAAAAACTCAATATATAATTTTCTATAAATTGTTAGATTTGCATCTAAAAGTTTTGTGTTTGATTGAGATATCTTGAGTAAAATAAAAGATGATAAATTTACAAAGGGTAAAGATCTGGTCAACTAATTAAATTGGAGTAATAATATTCATCCCAGATTTTGCTTTCTTGACAAAATTCAATATTGGTACATTTTCATTATGTTTACATACATAAATATTCATTCAGAAGGCATTTAACATCAGAGTGTCTATGGCATCAAACAACCAAATCACAAAAGAACAAATGAAATGATAACAAATACATGATCTATGGTTACTGGCATACAAATACAGCTAAAAGAGCTGCACTACTATGAAGTATCCTATGAAGTCCCAGCTGAGAACTAGGAAAATGATTCCTAAGCTGGATTTCTTAACAGGGAAAAGAGAATGGTTTGATACAAATGCAAAGTCAGGATAGCACACCAGGCTTCCCAGGAACTTTTAATCAGAGAGCAAACCTGAGACCAAAGCTCATTTAGTGAAGTCACTGGCACTAAAGTTGAGAAGGACACTGAAATTTGTTATAAATTAGTTCAGTGACATAATTTTCACTCTTCAAAATCGATCCTAGTTCTCTCTAAAATAACACCTATGGGTTAAGTAAATTAAGTACTTCAACATTAAGCACTTTTTACAAAATCACATGTTGAGTTTACAGATAAAAATTTAGTGTTAAAAAGTCTGAAAAATGGGGGCTGGGGATTTAGCTCAGCGACACGAGCACCTGCCTTGCAAGCAGGCAGTCGTGAGTTCAATCCCTGGTACCCATAAAAAAGAAAAAAACAAAAACAAAAAAAAATTTAAAAAAAAAGTCTGCATTTCTTCTCTAAGTTAAAGGAAGACCCAAAACAGGATTTTATGTTATACCATCTCTCCACTAGCACTGATAGATACCACTGTAATGCATTTGCTTATTACTACTATAGCTGATTTGATTGCAGAAGAATAATCCAGACTCAGTTGATAATTTTGTGCCAGTGAATCTGTCTGCTGAATCTATCATCACACCCAGGGAGAGGAAAAGGAAGAGTTTAACCCAAGAACTCAAACTGAATCAGACCCTGCAAGAATGTCTGCAACCTGGCAGAAAGAAGTCAAGTCTAAGTTAGATTCAGTATTGTGGTGGAGGGACCAGAGGAGTTATTGGAATGTGAACATTCGAACTCTCGGACAAAGAGGCTACTTGGTTATCACCTATGCAGTGTCTCATTAGAATATTTAATCTAGGCCAAGGATTTAGCTCAGGGCTCAAGTGCTTGCCTGAGAAGCACAAGGTCATGAGTTCAACCCCCAGTACCAAAAAAAAGAAAGGACATTTAATCTTTGTTTCCATCAGACATCATATAGGCTTTAAGTTTTTGTATTTTTTATTTATTTAACAATGCAGGGTTATGTTATATTCTTTTATAGTTTCCTGTGTTTATTAGGATGTTACTTTTGCATATTTATTCTTTCATTGGCTCTGACTTAATAAATTATCACCATATTAATAGGTGTAGATTCTCTCCATCTCAGCTCCCTGTCCACTTTCTTCACCTCAAAGCCCCGAGACAATATTAACATATTTCATTATTCTCTTTTCAAACACATAAACTCCTCCTCCCAAGTTTTTAAATTCCCCATACTTAGCTCCTTCATATTTACTTCTAGTTTCTCTAGTATTATTCCTCAAACTTTACCATCTTCAGCCTTTGTCTCTTTCAGATCTTACCTAGCCTTATTGTCCTCCCTATCAGCAGCTTCTCACAACTGCATACCTTTCTTCAGTCACAAAGTAAACCACCTTTCTCACATATCTCACCTTGCCCCCACAAAATATCCTATAAATACTCACAGTACTCAACAGTACTCAGACACTTATACTCAAATAAAAGAAGTACTTCAGTAAATCATACCCCAAATCAACCTTTCCTTCTCATCTACCACTATTCCTCCTTCAAAAGACCGCTTTAGTATCTAACACTCACACAACTATGTACCCTACCTCAACTATCTTACTGCAGAACAACCACAAATAATAAACAGTCATAGTTCAAACAGACAAAGGGGAAGTATAACTACAAAGACTGTCATATGGAAGTTGTAAGATTGAATCTGTAGGTGTGTTAGAACTTGAAGTAACTCAGCAAAACATAGGGACAGAATCAAAATCACTTGAAGTAAATAATAGGAGGAGTAGATACTAGCACCAGACATAAAAAGCTGAAAATTATTCATAGGGAGGCAACATCCGACTAAGATTTCCACAT